ATATATATATATATATTATATGTACGTTTGCTAGACTGTGTATTTCCTAGATCACATGTTCAAGTTTCGAACTATGAAAGCTTGTAAGCTGAAATTTTGTAACCAAAATCGCTGACAATTTGCTAAGCTTCGAATTTAAAGTTAAAGTCCGATTCATTTGTTGCCCTGAACTTTTGGCTTCATTTTTGAAGTCGAGTGAATTTCGTAAGCCTAAAAACAGGAATTTTTATATTTTCTCAAGTCACAGTTTTCCAGATGACTCCTGTGGGGAAAATTCACACTAGGCCGTCGAGTGGAAATTATCTTCAGTTTTCGTCTTTTTGTTCATATTTAAAACATATTTGGTAATGCACGGAATGTACTCTGTATAGTCTCTCGGGTAAATATCATTTAATGTTTGCTGAAAACTATAGTCCTGGTATTCCAAATATCGTTTTTTCTAAATCCCCTCTTCAGATAATTTCATCTCTCCAGAGGGCATTTCTAGTTCTATCATCTCCATCACTTCGTGCTGATGTTCATTGTTGTTCGTAGATAGCCCTTGGCTACAATTAGAAAACTTTGAAATTTATTAATAATAGTGATTACCAGTTTGAAAAAGCAGCTGCCCGAAGTGCATTTTTTTCTACTAATTTTAATAATTTCAATATAAATTTCGCAATTTCCTGCGTTCCTTAGTTCTAAAACAATCAGTTCTGTAGCTGTTTTCCGAGTCAGCACTCCTTCCAAGCTTTAAATTGCTTAAATTATTTTAATAAAAGGTTATAAGTGAGTGAAAGAGAACTAAAAGAAACGCCTATACAGAAATAATAGCATGAAATCGAAATTATTTATGAAGATGTTAGTGAAGAAATAGTTAAAACATAATTTATATATAAAAAAATTAGTTAATCAACTCATGCATTCCTATTTAGCATCACAATTGGACTTCCTCAGTACGACGGTTGTGGTATATATATACATATGTAATATATAATATTTACTCTTTTGTACTTGTTTATACATATACAATTGTATCAGCTAGAATAAGGATGTTTATATTGAAAAATTTGATATTATCGGTGATATAACGGTGAGCATTTTAATAAGTGATGAAAGTTTAGTGTTAACAGTATTACTAGGACATACCCACATATCGCTGAGCCATTCGGGTTTCAGCCGCATCCCCCTAGTTATTGCCTACGATGTGCACATTACAGACCAAGAGTACCGATACTGCCCGGGATATCAAGGTAATTATCCCATGTTGGTGAAAATTACTGGAAGGCTGTCACCAGCGGGTTTTCATTTTAACATCGTTTGCGTCGATCAGTTATCATCCAGGGAAGCACGGTCCTGTTCGTCGGTTTTTGTTTCTTGTACTGTTTGTGGAAGTTACGTTTCATACGTGCCTAGCTTAGCTTCAACTACCACTAAAACTTCGGTACGCGTAATTTTAGGAATGAGGGTTGTCGTATCGGGAAGTTTTTCTGCCAGAACAACGGCAAAGGAAATGCAGTGTAATGAAGAGGGAGAACAGGAAAATGAATATGCGGTTGTTTCTGTTGCAAAAAAGTCGCTAATTATGTTGTTAGTGCGAAGATTGTCGAGATGCAGAGACTGATTAGATTGATGAATTCGAAGTTTTAGGATGATATTGACTGTGGCACTGCTCTACTGCTTATTCGGCAGGATATCTGTTGTTGAATCGGATCTCTCACCACTGTTATCAATGCAGTTAATGCGACGGCTCGGCGATGAATACGTTGTTCCTCCTTCCATCTATGGCGTAATAGATTCGGCACCTAATAAGTTCGTTATCTTTTTCAAACTAAATATTTGCTTTGCATGCAATACACCGGAACACTTTTTCGGACGTAAGATTGCCAGTGGGCTGACCACCGACAATGCAGCATTGGTCAATGCAATTGGAAAAGTTGTCTATCACATTGCTAAAGAAGCGGTCTGTGGATTTCGGCTAAACTGTGGTATCCCCCTTATGCTTTTTTACATGCATCGATTCGCTTCTGCACGTTCCAATAATTCAGCGTCGGCAGTGCCAACTTGTGTTGTTCAGTTTCAAGGATGGAGAAGTAAGGAAGTTAAAATCCTGAAATATAACGCCAGCATGCTTAGAAATAAAAACTAAAATTGTCTTTCCGGCTTATTTGTATCCTGTCCATTGAGTTTCAGTTTCAAAACGGGGCAATATTAAAATCAAAGACAAAAGTTTTTATGTGGTTTTACGTATACCTTGTTTCAAATGGAAAAAAGGCTGCAGTCTTCTTTCAAATGGACTCAGGATTCAAATTATCAAAAGCAATTCTAAGATCGCTGTCAGCCACGACCAAAAATAGTCATATGAAAGCTTTCCAAAATTACTAAGGCCGCCAGGCAGTCGCTGTGGGTGCTTCCTGTTATTGTTATTACTAGAATACTCCCGCACGCTAAGTGCAGCTATTCCAGATCATTTAGCTCTCAGTGCATGCTCCTTTCGGAAACTTTCTCATATTTCTCCTTTGACTTGATACCGATTAATTTTTTGCAGAAGGTTGGCAGGGAAAGACAGAAGAGGCGCAATAATGGGATTTGATGATTTAGAAATGTTGCGCTCGCTGGATGGATTGCAGAAGCCAAGGTTGGCATTAAAATTACAGTTTGTGATTTCTGCGATTTTTGTGTTTTGTTCTTGCATTGAAAAACCTATAATAAGTCAAAGTTTCCCACACGCTCTAATGTTTCTTGGAGGAACCAGTGATACCAGTTGATAATTTCGATAATGTTACCTTTTTTGAAATAATCTACTTATATATTTTGTTTATAATCATTAGGCGACAAGGGCACTGTCCATGATAATACTTTCTGAGGCGAGAAACATTGAGCTGGTGAAAAATGTACTTCAAGTCAGCCAACAGAAGGTGCCAGCTGCGGTCAAAATAATTGAAAAAATAGCCAGTTGGAGGATGAAACTGCGATTTGCACTTGATCAGAATATTTAAGAAGCGGGTGCGATGCCGTTGAGGGTCTTTGTTTTAATCGGTGTGTGGATGTTGTCCAGTAGTACTGTTGAACCTGAATGCCACCTAAGTGCCTAACAAATTTTTAGTTATCAGTTTTTTCCACTTCATACAGGACATTTGATCCGTATTAGAAAAATTAAAGAAAGCTGCGGAACAGAGCGCCGAATAGCAGAAAAGATGGCCAGGGAAGATGAAAGAGTGGTTTAGTTAGGGAAGGAAATTCAGCCAAAGCGACGTGAAATCACGGAACGATTAAATGTACTTAAAAGAAAGCGAAAATTGTTTGTCTTTTCAAGCAGCTCAGGGACGAAAGACAGACAAGATATAAAACACTCAGCATTTTCTTTCCGTAATTTCGGTTTTTTGTCCTTAAAGCATGCCTCATTTGCAGTTATTTACCCTCCCTCTTTTTTCATTTTTTTCTACTTACCATCTTAACGGACACGGCTTAAAGGAAAATAAAGTGCTATCGTATAAAACCGCGTCTCAAAATCATTTTTCCGTTAAAATGTTATCTGTTTTGTCTCAGACATCTGTACTCGAGATCTAGATGTACATGAATGCTAATTTTAAAATGCAGACAAGGGATCACGCATTGGCCGGGAAAGCGCTCGTAAAATTTCAGTCTTTTGTGTTACTGAGCTGAAAGTGAGTGACAGAACTCGAGCACGTATACACACAGGCAACTTCTGAACAGCATGCGTTTTTGCATTGCACCAGTTATGCAGAAACGCACGAAAAAGGAGCCAGTGACAGACTTGTTAGAAAAAATGTTTACTGTTGGCATTTACTACTAGTCGGGCTAATTCCAAGTGCCTTCGAATACAATGGTTATTTTGGCTTTTTTCCTAATTGCCGTATTTTCAGCTCCTTCAACCGAATTCATATTTCCCTTTGCCATACATCTTTATATAGATGACTCGATTTCTTTATAGCAGTTTATGATGTATTTTCAGCTTATTTAATCCAATCCAGGATTTGGAAAAGCTGAAGAATCAAGAGGTGTTGTTATAGACAGCGAATGTCATTAGGTACAAGTGCACTTATGTAGTCGAAAAACGCTGCATGCGGCAACCTCCCTATTTCTTAAAGTCTAAACACACTACTAGCGGACAAATATGCAAATTTTAGTACTCGTGCTAATCGTTATATTACAGGTTTGGAAAGAAGTAGTATGCCGTACACAGAGCCTTTCCAGTGATACAAACAGTGGAAGAACAAAAGCTATATAGCCTCCCGGAACTCATATCCCAACCGTTTCCTTATCCTATTTTTGACATTTCTTCGTTTTCAGACGAAATTCATCCAAAATTTTTTGGTCATGCATTATTTGTTTAATTGTATCCAATGAACCCTTTTAATGTGAAATCTCATGTTACAAATTGCGTTTAAAATTTTACTTTTATTAATTACCAATATTGATAATTTCGGCTGTCACTTTTGAGATGAAACGAGCGACAGAATCGCCAGCAAACTGACCACCAGACGATGCAGCACTGATCAAAGAAGTTGAAAAAGTAGCCAGCTGGATGATTGAAGAATCATGCTATGAGCTGCAGTTCACCAAAGTAAAGCTACGTAGGCTTCGGCTTTAACTACACGTGTAGGTGCGTATGTACACAATGATCGCAGATAACAATTAGACGCTATTCGTTATATTAATGTACCTGCGTATGATAATATAACCAACAGCGTCTAATTGTTATCTGTCTGTGAGTGCAAACAAAATGCCCAAGTAAGCACTTTATAAAAAACACGGCAAAAACATGTGTGCCATGCTAGCAGTGGTACCTAGTAATGTTAAAAGAGAGGGCAAGTGGTGAAGCTTATATGAAGTTATATGGATGAGAGAGGCTCAAAATTAAGGGAAACGGGAAAAGTGCCAGTTCTGCCAGCGATAGGGGGAATGTGACGATAAAACAAGAGCCGATCAAGGTATCCATTCTATAGGTAGAATAAAAATAAATGATTTGTTTTTTTCTACAAAGTGCGTGACATGCTATTATTTAGTTGCCTAATCCAGCAGTTTTGCAAAATTTTATGAAAACCTTTGATTACAAGCTTTCATCATATAGTAAATGGCGGCGCGCACCAGACAACCGATACCATCATGCGTTTTGTGCAGTTCCGTCTAGCGAATGTTTGCCTGCTAAGAATTTTCACTCTTTTGCACTTTGGTCTGTGCAAAAATAATTGAATTGTTGTCTGGTTCCTTAGCTGCGAAATTCCCCACCAAAAATTTCACACACCGGTACATAAAAGCTGAACTTGAAACATCGAAGGGTAAACATCCTTTCACAATTTCAGTCTCTTAATTTTCCGGCTTTTAACAAGACTTTCATATAATCGTATGTGAAACCTCGGCATACTTAGGGGCTGAATTTGAGTTTGTGAAGCCCCTGCTTAGGTCGAAAACATCATCCTGAAATTTTTAGCCTTCTAGCTCTCCTAGCTCCCGAGATAAAGACTTTTCCCGCCAAAAATTTCGTGGAGTCGTACATGGACAGAGGACGCTACTTTAAAATTTCAACCTCCTAGCTTTCGTAGTTCCCAAGATATTAGTATTCCCCGTCAAAAATTTGATGGAGTTGTACGTGATACCCAAACGTAGAAGGCTGAATTCAAATTTGCGGGGATGTACTTGGGCAGGGAACGTAAAATTTCAGCTTCTTAGCTTTTACAGTTCATGAGATAATTTCTTTACCAAAACTTTCACGGACCGTAATTGGTGCCCAGAGGTGCGTGAAGGCTGAATCTAAATTTGCGGGATGGTACGTTGGTAGGGGACATGCAAAAAAACTTCAGACCGCAGCTTGCGTGGCTCCCGAGAATTATCTCTTCCGAAACTTTCACGGGACTATAAATGGTACTTGGGCGCGAAAAGGCTAAATTTAAATTCGCGGG